GGGGGGGGGGGGGGGGGGGGGGGGGGGGGGGGGTGTTACTTCATACATTTTGTAATAGGCTAATGGGGATGGGGTCACATTTTCATGACTTGACTGACTCTAATGGGATTGACTTTAATGGGATTGACTATAATGGGGTTGACTGTAATGGGATTGACTATGAAATTGACTTTAATGATTTTAATACTTTAATACAGTTATTAGAATTGGTTTGCACATTTTTGGGATTATGGGATAAAAAAATCTGATAAGTGGGGATTTAAAAATGGGTAAATTTGCAGTAAAAAGGATGGCTTTTTAAGGTAGGTGTATAATTTACAGAAAGTGACTAAGCTGGGATTTCAAAAAATTATTACATTTGCCGAAAAATGACTAAGATGGTGTATATAATTGGCCACAGAATGGACTATAATGGGTAGGGGTTCTTAGAGACCAGCAGCACATACCAAGGAAAATTTGACCCAGCATGCATATTAACTAGCCCTTCCAACTCCGGAACTAAATTTGTCGTTACAGCAAAGTGACATTAGTAAAAATTTACCTATTCCCTTACCATGTAAGCTCTCAACAACACTCAGTATTCTTTACAATTTTTTTTGGTTTAGATAACTGGGCACTGTTATATGCCCAGCGAATGGCTCTTAAACAAGAAGTTCCTCTCTTTGTATGCTTCTGTTTACCAAGCAAATTCCTCAATACCACCTACAGGCAATACAGTTTTATGATCAAAGGTCTTCAAGAAGTTGAAAAGGTACAATGATGAAAAAAAATGAAACCACACAACAGATAACAATTATTTTATAATTATTATAAAATTGTTATGTGTTTTGTGGTTTAAATTTTTTTGATTTGAAAATTTTGAAACCAGTTTCAGGGCTCAAAGAAAAATTTAATTCCATCACGTCCTTTGGGCAGGCAGCTCTCCCATTCTGGTTGTCCTGGGCCACTCCTTCCTCATCTTAGTTACTGATTTTGTCGGAGGAAAACTTGCCTGGCCCCTTAACCCTTTAAGCCCTAAGAGTGATCAGCATCAAATTTCTCCTTGTAATATCAGTGCTTTGTAAAACGGAGTGGTCATGAGAATTATGGATGTGATAACACAAGATGAATTTTCTTGATATTTTATCAACTTCTCCCCACTACTTCTGTAGGAAATGAATAGGGGCACCTAACAAGAATTCAAATTTTGATATTAGGTTTTAAGGGGTTACCCCATTGGGCAAGTAAGCTTTAAAAGTTACTTGCCCAGTAAGAAATCTACTCCTCCCAGACTACAGGATGATAATTTGTTTGTGCTCTGCAGTTTGATTTGAGTTTTCCTTTGAGTTATAGAATCACACACCTGATCTTCTACTTTGCTGACCAGTGCTCTATGGAACTAACCCTGCTGTGGTTATTTATTTCAGGAACTGACTACACTGAGCATTAATTTCCATTTGCTTCTTGGTGAACCAGACAAAGTCCTTCCTGAGTTTGTGAAGTCACATAATCTTGGTGGATTAATAACTGATTTTACACCACTGAGAAAACCGTTAAAGTGGCTGAAAGATGTTACAGCAAAACTTCCAAAAAATTTCCCTGTTTGTCAGGTCAGCAACTTTATTTCATTTTTGCTATTTTATTTTGTCTGATTTCAAGACATATTCATTTTCTTGTGATTTACATGTAGTGAATAATAATGTGGAGGAAAGCAAGAGAAGTTTCTAGCCTCACACAGACCATCTCTATTCTGTTTATTATTCAGACAACTGACTTCACTTTGGCTTGAAGTACTCCCTTTAAATAACAATTGCATGCCTTTGATGGCAGGCAATTCTAATACATAAATAATGACAGTGTACGTGTATGTTAATATATTTGTGGTTTCATTGTGGTATCTGCTGCCAGGATGCACTGCAAACAACTGTACTTAAAGGATTTAAAGAGGTGGCATGAGTCAAAGAGATGTAACCAACTAAATTAACTAAATTATTTGTGATTCCATCTTTGTAGGTTGATGGTCACAACATTGTTCCATGTTGGCAAGCTTCTCCGAAGTTAGAGTACGGTGCGCGAACTATTAGACCTAAAATCCACAACCAGTTGAAAGGGTTTCTTACAGAATTTCCACCAGTAATTAAGCATCCTCATGCTGCTGCAGACAAAATTAAAAAGGTGAACATTTTAATTAAATATCCTTTAGTGAACTCTTTTGACTGGTGGATGGTTTTGCATTTCAGTTCTAGGCAGTTTTTCCCAAACAGAAAACACTTCCAGAAAGTGATGGGCAGAATTTTGACACAGGGAAGCACTTGAATCCAAGGGTAAGGAGACCAGGAGAGAAGCCCTCCTTTGAGGAGACAAGATTGAGTGGTATGGAGAGTAGCTTTCCTGGTCAAGAGTCCTGATCAATCTCCAGGGGGTGAGACCCATATTCCCTTGTCACTAGGAACTAAGGGGAACCAGGAGCGGGGGGTCATCCCGGGTGAGAAAAGATCAAAATTGTGGTACTGGGGGTAGTCACGAGGGTCAAGAGTCCTGATCAGTCTCCAAGGGTGAGGCCCTCCTGATCAAGCCTGAATTTGTTTAGGTTCTTTTTCTACTGCTTAGGTTGCTCACCCTACTGTAAAGATCATGTTCACTTTCACAGAATAGCACCATATGGAATGTTAGACATCAAAGTATAATTTTTTATAGTGTAAACTGTGATCATGTTCATTTTATGACACTATTATTAATATTTATTGTTTAATAAACCAGACCGACTGGAAAGCAGTTGATAAATTCATTGAAGTCGATCGTGATGTTAAGGAAGTGGAC